TAAGGCTCTGCAGAGCATTTGCAAAACAAACAGATGGTTTTAAAGAGATTACGCAGGTAATTTGTTCTGTTGACCACCAGGATAAGCAAATCAAGACATCTACGAGTCATCTCCTGTCTTCCAAAAATACCCAAGTGATGAGAGCGCGATGTTCATATCATATCATTTTCTGTTTTTAGCTCTCGCTGCATGTGGATTATCACCACTTCACCCATTTCTTTCCCCACTTTTACCCTCACAGCCATTTCCTTTGAAAAGTCAGATCGCTGCCATTGTACCATCTCACTAATCGTGCGGAGCTGCTTCAGTACAGCTTTCTTGGCAAACACGAGGCAGCCAGCCGGCCAAGAGAGGCTTCTGTTGACTCCTTTGCGCTCTTGAATTAATATTTGCACGACAAGCAAACCGAAGCAGATGTCAACCGTGAGGCGATTCTTCTCGAGTTTATCTGTGGTGAGCCACTCTTATATGGGATTAAATGGTAATCCAACTAACCAGATTTGCAGTGTTGCGATAGTCTGCACTACTGAAGGGGGAATCCTTTAATCTCTGACTGGCAAATTCCTGAAAACCAAAAATGTACGCATGGATGTTTGGGTGGGATGTACACCTACTGTCAGCACAATTAAGGATATGAAAAAAAATGTTATGAAATAATATTTTAAAACAATCCTATTGTAGCCACATAATCTCCAGTGTTTAATCAGGATACAATTTAGTGAAGACAAAACTAAAAGCCAGGCTGAAACATGTGGAAAGAAGGATTTTTCACCTTTTTCCCAATCTGTCAAGATTATCCAGAGTTCTGGTGAAACATTTCTTTGTTTTCTAAATTTTTCAGAGTGAAATTATGCTCACGTAATAAAATTATACATTGTGTCAAGGCTTTTTAGATGACTTTCCTAAGAATCCTAATAAATGGGGAGGAGCTGTTTATATGTGCTTTTATTCTCAGATACGGATGTAATTTTGCTTGGAGTTTTCTTTTTCTTTTTTTTCCATAAAAAAGAAAAAAAAATCATTTATATGCTTTCGCCAAAGCAATAATGCAGACTTTTACTCTAGTTGTTAAGGCACAGCGCGACATAATAAAATGAACTCACATCTTTCAAAATAGCCCATATTGAAACCAAGTAACCTGATTATTTCTGATGAACACAGTAAATCAAATCCTACACACTCAATTCAGCAGCAGTAAACAGACAAATTGAAAAGAAATGAGTCATGGCATCATTTTTAGACAAGCGTTGGACTTGCCTGGGGGCCAGCAAATCCCAATGCACACTTTTGTGTATAAAAAAATGACAGTTGTGAATAAAACTTACATTACCTATTAATGTATTCCTACCCCTTGAACTTCTTAATATATTATTACAATACGACCACTAAGTAAACATTTGAATTGGAGTTTATGTGATAAGCCAATACAAAGTAGCATAATGTTGTGAAAAGGGAATGTTTCACCAATTAAAAAAAAGAAAAAATCTGAATTGTGGTGTCCATATGTATACAGCAAGAACCTTTTTGCTAACTCTTCCTTGCATTCTTGGTTAGCGAGTTACACGTTTAGCAATTTTGCACCGTTTTCTGTGGGTGTGTCACATGAAAACCAAACTAAATACGCTGAGGCTATTTTTAGAAAGTGCTTTTTCAAAAGTCAGTAACGAGGAGAAGAGTCCTTCAGAATAATTTAGAAACAATACTCACTGTTTTCATTAAGCTTCAATAAGACAAAGTCAGTTTAACGTTACGTTCCTGAACACCTGACCTTTTATTTCTTAAACTAGAGATCCGAAAACAATGCACATAGCTGTGTTTGGCAGGGAATTCCCTATAACACAGAAATTCAAAAAATTTTTTGAAGAGGGGTAAGGAGAGACGGATGCGTTCCCTCTCTCGGCGAGGAGCTAATTTGGGCTTACACTGATTAAGCTGTCCATCGTACCACCAGGAGACCTCTGTGTACGTCTGATCCAGTGTGTGCCTGAGCAGAATCCCTAACACCGTCAACAGAGCCGCCGGTCCACAGTGAGGAGGGACATGAAAGAGCTGTAGTAACCGGTGACATAGCAGGATTACAGATGGGATTCTGTCAACAATTAACAGGGAGATAATTGCAAGACAAGCGCAGTGAATTCACCCCCGGCCCCGAGGGACACAGGGGGGGGGGGGGGGAGAAAAAAGTAGCTAATTGAACGGACTAAAAAAGTAGAACTGACTAATGAGACATGATGGGGGAAGCTTTTTTTTTTTACTCATGTCAGCACTTTAGCCTGCTTTATGACACTGATGGAGGGAAAATATTTCACAAATGAAGACTGTAGCGGCTGGTCTATTAAACGCTGGTTTTATAATCGGTCTTTTAAACTCAGGAACGTGAACGCATCATTTGAAATAGTCACGTTTAAGTTTTCAAAATCAAGTGTTGTGCAACACAAAGCTAAAATAAAAGCTTGTATAAAATCCCATGATGCATTGGAAGATGATACAATATTGGCAGGGTGGCCTGCCCTCCCTCTCTCTCTCCCTCTCTCTGTCGAATAATCCCCATATCAGCTGATATCCTAGAGGGTCTCAGAGGTTGTGAACACTAGTTAAGCTGACAGGAGCAGCTTTTGACTCTTAACTGCAAACCAGTGGTCAGATGGCTTGTGTCCAGGGGGGAGAAAGATTACTGATGAGGATCCCTGATTACAGCCTCAGAAGGTTTCACGGCATTCATACCGACACATTATATTTCCCTGAGACCCTGAAAAACATTTCACTGCTCAGACTTGTTCTTCTTCAACAGAACTGAATTTCACATTGTGTTTTCTTCAACTCCACTCCCAGTACAGCACTGTGCAAAACGCCTTGGGTTATCCCTTATTTTGCTCCCAGAGTTAGATCTTGCTGTTGTCTAGAATTAAAAGTTCTTCCTGTTTTTGTCTATTCCTTTGGACTTTGTCTTCTCAATATGCATCGACACTAACATTTTTGTTGCATACTTCCGTTTTGCGTCAGCTCCAAAATCATTTTTGTTGAAATGCACTTACCAATTGCTAACAAGTTTTCTTTTTTTTTTTTTTTTGCTTTAAATCCTGGAGATTACCAGTTGTATGCCTCTCTACATCATCTTGTCTTTTCAGGTAAATAATCACGGATCCTGCCAAAATCAGGGGTGAAAATTTTACAAGAGTGCACAAGTTTCAGGACATCAATTGCATTGGGATGACACCAAATTCAAAAGCAATGACAGAATAAAGTCAGTTTATTCTAAACACAGATGCTTCAAAGATAAAGAAATGCCATATTATGTTGTAGTACGTATTAAACATGGAATAGTACTATCTGAGATGGGGGACGTGTATGGAAGAAGTGGGGCATTTGTACAAGTGCAACTGGAGTGTTTTAAACAAACAAGCTCACGCAAAAGCAATATACTAACTGCTGATCAATAGTTTATCCCTCAAAATAAGCCTGATGAGGAAATCTGTGTCTGTGAAAACCCAACTCAGCTTGGTATGCGCCAGGATGAGCTAAATTTACCTCTAGTGCGAAAGAGTAAATTAAGAGCAAGTAAAGGAAATAGCGCTTTTTTCCCCTATTGCCCTAAAACTCAGAAACACAAGTGTAGAACTAGTGGATGAGGAAAATATGCATTTTGCTGCCTGTGGCATTTTTCCCCTTTAGAGGAAGATCATTGAGTGTGAGTTTCACTCCTGGACTCTCTGTGTGAATCATTTGGCCAGTGGCGCAAATGTTCTCATGCATCAGAATAAAACACAATCACGGTCTGCAAAAATCTATTTATCTGAAGAGGAGCATGGGGGCTGCTGTCAGCAACACAAGTGGGGATCAATCCTGCTGTCTGGAAGAACAGCACACTTTCCAATATCGAATTATTATGAATATAAATAAATAAATAATATTAATAAAAACACGAAAGAGCATGATGAAATCTTCTGACCCCCTGCTTCTGGCTCTCATATCGTGCTGCTGTTTTAACGTGTTTCACGTTGGCAGCCCCCCCTCGGGACAACCGTCATGCTTCACTCCCTCCCTCCTCCCACCATATTAAATGCCAGCCACTGCGTCTGTCTGCACCAAAAACAACTCGCTCCTCTGTGATCAGCATGAAAAAAAAATAAATAAATAAAAAAAAAATACAGCGTGAAGCCTCGCCATCATATTTTACTACTGTAGCCGCTGCATGTCACATTTTACGCGCAGAGCGAAAGCGTCTCCGAGGTTCTCCGACGCATGATTTCGTTTATGGAAAACCTTTAAAAATCAGTTTGGTGGAGGGAGCGTGGGGGTGTTGGGGGGGTATGGATGGGTGGGTGTGAGGGGGGGGGGGGTAAGGTATGTGGCGCGACGCAGAGGAGTCGATGACATCATGTCTGTGGGGAGAGATGTAGTTTTGCGAGCCGTGAAACCAGATGCTCGTCTGGCCTCTGGTTGGTGTATGCAGAGGGAAAGGAGGAGGAGGGGAGTGGGGGCGAGGGGGTGAACCGAGGCGACTGTACACTGTGATGTGAACAGCGTGTTTCGCTCCCTCTCTTACACACACACGTACACGCAAACACACATACGCAAACGCACACACGCATTGCAAGCTTTCAGCTGGCCCTCTTCTTTGAACAAATAGCCGCCTTCTCCCCCTTCCTCACACAGCGCAATGGCGCATTCAGCAATCTCGGTGCAATTTCTATCCAGATGTGTGGACACGTCTGCCTGGGAGCCCGAGAGGACGGGGAATTTGTAGCCGAGAGCGTTAAAATGCGAGGCAACGGCACACATGAAACGAAATGCAGACATGTGCAGAGCAGTGGAGACTGGGAGGCGAGCGTAAAGGGGTTCACTACGCTGCTGATTTTCACCCAAGTCATGTACACAGGACCCGGGTTATACCAGGTGACAGCGGGGGAGACGGAGGTGGAGGATAGACTTCTCTTTGAAGGAGTTGATGAGATTTTTTTAATTTTTTTTTTTTAGTTTAAGCTAAAAGTTTGCCCTACCTCCACACTTGTCCCATCTGAAAGATGTGAATGATGGTCTGCCAGACCCAGACAGACAGGCGACAGCACCTGTCCCTCTGGAAACCAGCCGTAGCCCTCCGACTGCTGAGTCCCTCCACGGAGCCCAATCCGCCGCCGGTGTAATCCTGCACAAACCACCTGAAGCTCAGGATCTGGACCAGGACCGAGGGCACCAGCACAAAGAACAGAGTCAGGCTGGACCACAAGAAGTTCCGCTTGTGGTAGTAGTCGGCGGCCAGCCACAGATCGGTGCCCACGTCCCAGAAGAACACCAGCAGCGCCAGGACGATCCACAGGCAGTCCAGCCAGAGGCGCTCCTCCTGCGGTGGTCGCCCCGCATCCCTCCCCTTCCCTCTCCCCTTCCTCCGGAGGTAATGCAGGCAGGCGCTCCGGCAGCCCCAGTAGCACGACGAGGTGTTGCAGCAGTGGCAGATGTGGAAGGAGCTGCCGTCCCGCGCGTCGTCCTCTCCCGTCCCCACCACTTCGTCCAGGTTGTGCAGCTGGGCGAAACCGGTGACGACCCCGCGACCATCGGATTTCGCTGCCATCTTTCCCTCTGATGTTCCCACCTCCTCCTCCGGCTTCCGGGGTTCGTGACGACACTTCCCTGACACCTGTTTTGCTGCACCCCAAATGTTGGCTCCATCTAAAAGCGGGGTGTCAGCGCGTCGCCGCCGCGGACTCCTTCCCCAAACTGCGCGCCAGCGTCACGGGAGACGCAGCGCATCTTTTTTTCTCTCTCTCTCTCTCTTTCTCCCCCTTCCCCCCCCCCCCCCCCCCCCCCCCCCCCCCCCCCCCTCCCCTCCCCACCACTCCCCCTT